TAAAAATTAAAATATAATAAAAACTTAATATTATTAAAAAAAATAAAATTGAAACTAATTAGATAAGTATATAATAATTAAAAACTGTCACGTCCCAAAACCCGAATCCGAAGCGCGACAGACGCCGTGCACTTGTCAACGGATCCCACGAATGCACAAGGCTCGAAACTTATCTAAATCACAAACTGACAATCCAATAACTCAGATCAGATATTTCAAAATTAATTCTCTTTTCTATGTCCACATGACTTAACCTCAAAATCTCCAGATCAAATTTCTTATAAACTAACAATCCACTAAATGAATTTACAATCTCCAATTAAAATCTCGCTTAGAAGATCATCATTTATATCTAAAAATCCATATTCAATTTACACGATAGCTAGCCTTCTAATTCGTCACTCCCCTCGATTTCCCCGTCCTCGATATTGCTTCCTGAAATGGTGGACAAGGAAAACTATGAGATAACTCAGTAAGTAAATATGGATAACCCTTGGGTAAAACTTTTAAGCACGCCAGATAAACAGTTTAATTGCAAAGCATTCAATGACAACTCGTCAATGCAAAATCAGATTCAGTTCAATAACAAAACGTTTCATGACAAACTGTCAATGCAGAAGAAAACTCAGTTCAGTAGTCTCATCTATAAGTCATGGCCAGCGTTTATAAACCTCCCACTGGCGGGCACAGTAGTTGCCAATGTTTAACCCCATAGGCAAGGTTACAGAAGTGCCAGTGTTTAACAACTCCCACTGGCAGGCGTCAGTGATGGTGCCAGTGTTTACAACTCCCACTGGCAGGCGACAGTAATTACCAATGTTTAACCCCATTGGTAGGGTGAACCGGTTCTACAAAAATACATGTCGACATTTGCTAGCGTTTATAAACCTCCCACTAGCGGGCACAGTAATCAGTAATCATGACTATATCCGAGACAAAACCATGCAGAGTTTACAGAAAAACCCAAATTTCACAATCAATCTCGAATTTCAGAACAAATCGAAAAATTTTCATGTGGGCATGGATTTAACAAAAAACTCAATATTCACAAAATTCTCAGTTCATCAAACAGTTCAGTCCATTTCCAAATAGGCATGCTCAACTCCAGAAAAACAATGAAATTCCCATTTTCATTCCAATCACGTTCAATTCCAAAAAACAGTGAAATTCTCATAAAAACCATCACCATTTCCAATTCAGTTTAATCACACTCAGATGTTGATAAAATCCATTTAAAATCAATTTGAAGCTTACCACCATCTCAAAAACAATTTAAAACATGCTTTAAAATCGAAGGGCTTTACTATAATTTACTTACCTTACTCGCACAGAACAGAAGGCTAACCCAAGTGCTACGGTGACAGAACGATCAAAACCTAATCACAATATTCCACAATTAATAACCATACCACCACAAATTCACAGTGAAATCATCATTAGCACTACCCCTAATCACAGTGCTATTTCTATCAATCTCCCCATAACCGGACATCTCCAAATTTATTCTTATATCACAACCTAAACATTTAAATCTCCGTTAATTGTTGGCCCTCGGTGTGTGAACAGTGCCGTGAACAGTACTTCAACTTCCAAAATTGGCAAAACATAGCTAATTCACAGGATCTCTCAAATAAGCTAATTTTCTACTTAAACCACGCTTAAAAACATAGCTTAAAGCTACCAAAATTCATCCCACCTTCCAGCACAATTTCACCTAAGTTTCTTCCATTTTCGGACAGCAAAAAGGGCAATTCAAAAGCAGAAAATCCACTCAACACAAAGCAACAATTACATGGATAAATTGGACTTGGAAGAGCCGGCAACTTACCAGAATTTTCCGGCAAGAACCGGAGCTAGCAGGGGAAGAAGAAGCCGGCGGCAGAGAAGAAGAAATTCTGCAGGGGAACTCGCGGCTACCCAATCCAAAAA